GACACTAGCCATCATCCACTGCCCCCTTTTGTTCCTCCAAAGTACTAGTATATGCCTCCCGGGAATGTGTTCAGGTCTTTCCCCCATTACATTGTGGACTGGTCTTATGGGTTATTGTTGAGGTTATAATTAATTTCATTCTAAAATAACTCTTAGATGAGAAATACTGAGCAATACTGGAAATTAGCAAAGGGGAGGGATCACCCAGAATTCCTCACCCAACAAAGCCAGTCTTAACATTTTGATGAATTTCCTTCCCATTAGTTTCTTGTTAGTTGTTAAGTTGTTGATGATGTTTTTCACACTGTTACATGTGCAACTTTATACCCTGTCATTTTTTTCATTTTTTTCATTTTTTTCTTTTTTTTCTTTTTTTTTTTTACCTGACTTTATGTATCTTGTAAACTCTTATAAATCTTTATCAATATCTGACGGCTGCATAATTACACATTCACTTAGTGGATATATCATCACTTAACCATTCCCTTCCTATTAGATTTTTATATTTTAGTTGTAAGGTGTTTTTTTAATAGTATGGTTAAGTTTTTCTCATTAAAAAGTGCCATTATGAGCATCTTATGCTTAAAGCCATGTACGTACAGTTGCATGTCCCCCATCTTTCTGCACTTGGGAGGGAATCACATGCGTAGTCTGCTTTGAGACGTGCCACGCTGAGGGACGCTACCTAAGGATGAAATTGACCTCTGACAGTTGGGAGTCCAGGCTCTGGCGGCAGGTGCAGGGGGAGAGAAGGGCAGTTAGAACAGGAGCTGGCAGGCCTCCTCAGTGCCCTTTAAACCACACCAGCCTCACATTCCACTAGGCCAGCGCTGGCCTCCATGTTGACCTTCTATGTAGACGTTAACTCCAGTGATTCTGTGCCTGAACTGGCTGCGCACTGGGGAGGAATCGGACGCACAGAGTTAGAGGACTGGCGTCAGGAGAGGAGGAGGAGCTCTGACTTATCTGATGGGCGATGCGGTGTCAGAAACCGGCCTCCACAGTTCTCAGGAGGCTCGGCTGGCAGGCACTGTGGGCACTCGTCCGACTCCTGGAAGGGGGCTCCTTCAGATGGAAGAGCCGCGTGGAATGAAGAGACAGGAGTGAATCCTCATTTTCCATCCAGGGACCTGGGGTCACAGGTCCCCTTGTCTTAACAGGGAAAGCACGTGCTGACGTGGGAGACCTTTGATGGCGTCCACATCACTTTTCCTAGACAGCCTTTGGGCCAGTTCTTTTAGTTGGCTTGTGTAAGGGCAAGATTCCACTAAGATTACTAAAAAGGAAGGAAATTTGGTTCATTTACATAATAATTTGCATGCCTATATACAGGTTCCCAGACAATCTGCCACCAAAATTGATTATTTTGCCCAACCAGTGAGGCTCAGTGGATTGAGCATCGTCTCATAGACCAGGAGGTCACTGTTTTGATTCCCAGTCAGGGCACATGCCTGGGTTGCAGGCTCGATTCCCAGTAGAGATGTTTCTATCTCTCACGTTCCCTTTCTCTCTCTAAAAAACCAATAAAAACATATTATAAAATTAAAATTTATTTTTTTCCATTTCTTCTGTACCCCTATCGCAAACTTAAATAATAATTACTAATACCTCTAGAATTTATTTTTAAACATTTAGAGAACTAACTCTGCTTAAGGTACTGTCCTAAATACTTTAAAAGTATTCTCTCATTTAATCTTCATAGCAACCTATGAAGCAGATACTGTCATTGTTAGGGTCGCCAAAGGAGGAATGCATGAGGCCAAAAGGGGTGACGAATTATGAATTTATTAGGTCATCTGGGTACCAGATGGGCTGAGTCCCAAAATGGCACCAGCACCCAAAGACGGAGAGTCAGGGGTTTTTAAAGGACTCTAGGTGGGCTATCTCTGGGCAGAGAATTCTCTGTATAGGTTTGGATTCTGGGAAAGTTTGGAGGGGAGAGCTAATGGTCTTCACAAGTGGAATGTCCATTGTGAAGTGGCCTAAGGGCAGTTCCCAGGGGAGGGGGTAACGATGCAATTATTTGATCAGACCTAACATTTTGTTATTATCCTCATTTTACAGATGAGGACACTGAGGCCAAGAAGTTAAGTAACGTGCCCCTGGTCCCTCAGCTGGGGAGGGGCTCCAGAGTCTGTGCCCTCAGCCCCGAGGCTGTGCTGCCTGGGAGGATGGGGCGGAGGCAGACGTGTGGGCCCTGAATGGACAGCAGTAGCCTGCCGGGCGGGGTCCTGTCCCCACCTCTCAGAATGTTGCTGGGTTCTTTTCCCATGTGTGGAAGTGCTTAGGGATAATCTAGCGGCACTGTATATACAGGGAAGCTCAGTTAATCCCCAACCAGGAACCAAGCAAAATGGACCTAACTGAAAGCAGTAGTTTCTGGCGAATGTAAGATCCTAGGGTGGGCATGATCTCCTTTTCACTACTTGCATGTGGCCCTATGTGCTGGAAAGAAGGACCCGCGGCTACACAGAGGGGCAGGAGGCACATGAGGACATGAGGAGCAGCTTCTGCCCTCAGGAGGCACCATGGAGAGTGGAGGACGGAGTGGGGAGGACGGAGTCCACCAGAGGTTGGGCAGCAGGGGCACAGATCCCCCTGGAGAGGCCAGGACCCAGAAGGAGAGAAACTGGGAAAGTGGGGGAAAGAATCAGAGGATCACTCAGCAGCAGGCCCCGGAGTCAGTCCCAGTAGCACTTAGCATCAGAAAGACTTGGGCAGGCCTGCGCTGGGGCCTAGGGAGCAGGCCAAGGAAATGTCTGGGAGGCGCCCAGGAAGGGGCCAGGGCAGAGGCCCACAGGCAAGGCCAGGCTCTCCTTGGGGGTGGCGGGTGCTGTGGAGGCAGTGAGGTAAGAGCCCGTTACAGGTGCCGGGGTCCAGGTGAGAGGAGACCCAGACACACCGGCCTTCATGCTGAGAGTCTGTGCTGCCCACTTCGGCCTCCCAGCGTCTCCCTAGTAGAAATAAGTTTGGTTTTAGAATCTGAAGCAGGATCGGATTGACAGTTTGGAAGCTAAGTATCCATAGCAGGTAGTTTTTTGTTCATTGATTAAGGTATTACAAATGTGTGGTTATCCCCCCTTTGCCCCCCCACCCCCCAATCCTGCCCTCACCCTCACTCTCTGGTGTCTGTGTCCATTGGTTAGGCTTATATGCATGCATACAAGTCTCTTGGTTGATCTCTCTCTCCCTTACCCCCACCCTCCCCTACCTTCCCTCTGAGGTTTGAGCATCTGATCGATGTTTTGCTGTTTCTGGATCTGTTTTTGTTCATCAGTTTATGTTGTTCATTATATTCCATAAATGAGTGAGATCATGTGATATTTATCTTTCTCTGACTGGCTTATTTCACTTAGCATAATGCTCTCCAGCTCCATCCAAGCTGTTGTAAATGATAGGAGTTCCTTCCTTTTTACAGCAGTGTAGTATTCCATTGTGTAGATGTGCCAAAGTTTTTTAATCCACTCAACTGCTGATGGGCACTTAGGCTGATTCCAAATCTTAGCTATTGTAAATTGTGCCGCTATGAACATAGGGGTGCATATATCCTTTCTGGTTGGTGTTTCTAGTTTCTTGGGATATATTCCTAGAAGTGGGATTGCTGGGTCAAATGGAAGTTCCATTTTTAGTTTTTTGAGGAAACTCCATACTGTTCTCCACAGTGGCTGCACCAGTCTGCATTCCCACCAGCAGTGCACAAGGGTTCCTTTTTCTCTGCATCCTCGCCAGCACTTGTCGTTTGTTGATTTGTTGATGATAGCCAGTCTTACAGGAGTGAGATGGTACCTCACTGTCGTTTTGATTTGCATCTCTCGGATGATTAGTGACTTTGAGCATGTTTTCATAGCAGGTAGTTTTAAAATATACAGTGGAAATATGATGTGTCCTCGGAGTTTGGAACAGGGTGTGACAGTCCCCTGACCTCTGTGGTGCTGAGGGATGGGGCTGAGGACACCCATCAAGTGGAAACACTGTCCACTGAAAGAATAGCCAACTAGCTGATAGAAGAGACCCAAGCATAGATATGAGAGAGGAACATCGTATGCGCCCCAGCCGAGGATCGAACCGCAACCTTTTGGTGTCCGGGGCGATGCTCCAACCAACTGCTGTTCCCGGGAGGCTCTGTGCTAAGCCCTGTGAGACGCATTGAGAACTAACGGGTTCTCTTGGGGAAAGTCTCAGCCTTTAGCCAGGAGAGGTTGTTCCTATCTCTGGGTCTCTCTGCCCAGTGTTACTGGTTCTGCCCAATGGGAAGGGCCTGGCCTGGAGGGAGGGCAGGATGGAGCATGAAGGGTGGTCCCTAAGCAGGATGTGGCCCCTCTTCCCCGCCATCCTTCCCCTTGGTCCCCGATGGCTGAGCACCTGTGAAATGATCCTGTTCCCCTTCCAGGTAAACAGAGTTCAGCTCCTGCCTTTGAGTTGAAGCCTCATTCTCTCTTGTGTTGTTGTGTGGCAGCATCTGTTTTAAGCAAATGGCTCCAAAGAGGGGTGGGGATGGGGAAGGTATCAGGGATTAGAGGGAAGGCAGTTTCTCTCTCATTATTCCCTAGAATCAAGTGAGAGTGAGTGACTGAGAACTAGATGCTCAGGAAGAGCCTGAGGGGCGGTTGGGGGCAGAAATGGGGCATGCGGTGGAGCCCTTGGAAGAAGCAAAGCGGGTACTGGAGAAGGGCTGTAAAGACACAATCAGCTGGAAGCTGGCAGAGAAATACTGAAAAGAACTCTAACCAAACAAGGCATTAGAATAAAGTCCCGGTTCCAGGCAGGCCCCAGCTGTGGCTGCAGCTGGACTGGCTGAGTGACTCAATGGCACCGCTAATTCCTTTTCTTTTTTTTTTTCCTTGTTTTCTTTCCTGCTCCCACCTCCCTTTTCCATCCTCTGCCTTCTTTCCCAAATCCCATCTTTCCCCTCCATCCTCTCCTGTGCTCTCACGCATCCTTTCTCCCCTTCCCTCTCCCCCACGTCCTCACATTTGCTCCTATCCCCCATCCCCTCCAAGCTCTCTGGCGGATGTGAGCTGACCGTGGTCCTCCAGGACTTCAATGCCGGCCACAGCAGCGAGCTGACCATCCAGGTGGGGCAGACGGTGGAGCTGCTGGAGCGGCCGAGTGAGCGGCCGGGCTGGTGTCTGGTGCGCACCACGGAACGGAGCCCCCCGCAGGAGGGCCTGGTCCCCAGCAGCGCCCTGTGCATCTCCCACTCCCGAAGCAGCGTGGAGATGGACTGCTTCTTCCCCCTGGTGAAAGGTAGGGACCACAGAGGGGGAGGGGTGTGGAAGCAGATCGTGGAGCTAACCCTTCTCATGACCTCGTGGGATTTCCCGGGACCTGCTTGTGAAGAGAGTGGGTTGGGAGCTTGAAGGGAGAGAGTACTATGAGTAGCCGTGTGACCTTGCGAGTTATTTAAGCTTTCTGAGTTGGTTTCATCTTAGACATTAAGGTTGAATTCAATGACTCCTAAGATCTCTTTCAGATGTGCCATTGTATTTGGAAAAGTCCTCTTCTACCTGTGGCCAAAGCCTGGGCTCCTCTGTCCACTGCCCTGCTCCCCACCCCCCACCCCCACAGCTCCCACGGCTCCCTGACACCCACCCACCTCAGTGTTCCTGCTGGCACAGGGGCACCCAGCAAGCCCAGGCTCAAGGCCCTGCTCACTTAGGTGCCTTTGATGGATAAGTTATTGGAGCCTCGGCTTCCGTTTGGTATAGTTCTGTGTTCCCTCCACATGCTTGTTATTCATTTTCTCACGCAGGGAGACTCACCAACTAGAATAGCGATCCTCCAAAGTGGGGGTGTCTCAGCACCCCCTGGGGACCTGTTGGAAATGCAGATTCTCAGGCCCCTCTCCAGAGCTGAGTCAGAAACGCTGAGTGGGGCCCAGTGGTCTGTTTTAAAAGCCCTCCCAGGGACTCTGCTGCATCAAAAGCCAAGGCAGGTAGGGGAAACTGAGGCCCAGAGAGCGGCGTGGTTCTGAGCTTCTCGTAACTCATCAGATCCTCTATGTCAGTAGTTACAAAAAGCTCAGCCTTGTATGCAGACCCATGCTAGGTACTCATGGGCTAGGAAGAGGGAAGGGACCTGCTTCTGTAGGGAGTCAGGGACAAGGGTCGCCATGGAGACCTGCTGCAGGCTTCCTAGTAGATACTACAGGCTAATAAGGTTTAAATGTTCTGGTTTCTGGAATTCCATCTGGTCCATCTCCAAAGACTGACTTCCTCCTGCATCCACCAGATGGCGATAGCAGGTGGCTTGTTGACAGGCCTCTCATCCAGCCTGCCTCCCTGGGTTTTTCCACCAGGAGAAAAATGCAAACTAAAACCTGATTCTTCCCTCCCCCAGTTCAGCTCTCACCCAGTTCATTTCTCCCCTTTTCTCTGGGGACTAAAGAGGGGCTGTGTCCGGAAGTCCTGTGGATCTGGAATTGCCCAGGCAGCTCCTCAGTCCTTTGAAGTAGCCACAGAGAAGCTCTTGGAGCCAGGGAAGAGAAGATCAGGGACACGGGAATATGGCTCTGTGTGAAGTTTAAACAAGAGGGAAACGGGGACACACAGAGGTTAGCGCTGTGAAGGTGAGATGAGGTAACACACGAAACACCTGGAACAGTGCCCGGCACTCGATACATTAAGTTGTCAAAAGTTGGAGTTATTACATCATTTGTCATGGATTCCTCAGTGAAATAACTACAAAATCCCATAAGCCCTGTCTGGGACAAAGCCCAGGACAGCAGTCTTCTGGGAAAGGCTAGTTTGTCGGACATCCACGCAGGTGTGTCCGTCGGGAAGGACGTAGCTTCGAGAGAAGACCTGACATGTCTAATTTTAAAGTATTTTTTTATTTTTCTGTTACAGTTGACATACACTATTCCATTAGTTTCATGTGTAGAGTATACTGATTAGACATCTACATAGCTTACAACGTGATCACCCTGATCAGTCTGGTACCCATCTGACACCGTACGTAGTTATTACAATATTATTGACTACATGGCCTATGCTGTACTTTAATAACTGGCCATTTGCACATCTTTATCCCTGCATTTTTTCAGCAAACGCTCAAATCCCCCTTTCAGCTGGCAAACATCAGTTTGTTCTCTGTTATCTATGAGTTTGTTTCCGTTTTGTTTGTTTATTTTGTTTTTTGGATTCCACACATAAGTGAAATCATATGGTACTTTCTTCCACTGTCTGACTTATTTTACTTAGCATAATACCCTCTAGGTCCATCCATGTTGTTGCAGATGGCAAGATTTCACTCTTTTCTTTATAGCTGAGTTATATCTCATTATATATACAGTATGTACCACATATTCTTTACCCATTCATCTATTGATGAGCACTTAGGTTGCTTCCATATCCTGGCTATTGCAAATAATGCTGCAATGAACATACGGATGCATTTGTCTTTTTGAATTAGTGTTTTGAGTTTCTTCGGATAAATATCCAGAAGTGGAATTGCTGGGTCCTTCTTTGTCTCTTGTTAGAGCCTTTGTTTTAAAGTTTATTTTGAAGTCTAATATAGATATTACTACCCCAGATTTTCTTTTAATTTGCCTGAAATATTTTTTCCATCCCTTTACTTTCAGTCTGTGTGTGTCTTTCCATCTGAAGTGAGTTTCTTGTAGGCAGTGTATGTATGTTTTCTTTTCCATTCAGCCACCCTATGGTTGTTTTTTTAAATATATTTTATTGATTTTTTACAGAGAGGAAGGGAGAGGGATAGAGAGTTAGAAACATCGATGAGAGAGAAATATCAACCAGCTGCCTCCTGCACACCCCCTGCTGGGGATGTGCCCGCAACCAAGGTACATGCCCTTGACCGGAATCGATCCTGGGACCTTTCAGTACACAGGCCGACACTCTATCCACTGAGCCAAACCGGTTAGGGCTACCCTATATTTTTTGATTGGAGCATGTAATTCATTTACATTTAAAGTGATTATTGCTAGATATGTAGTTTTTGCCCCTTTATTATTCATATTTTTATTTCTCCTCCTTTTCCTTTTCTCCTCCCCTTTCTCCTTCTGCTCCTTTTCTTCCTCTTCATTCTCATTCTCCTTCTTTTTCTTTGTTCCTGTATCATTTCTTGTAATACTGGTTTGGTGGTGATGAACTCCTTTCTTTTTTTCTTGTCTGGGAATATCTTTATCTGTCCTCTGATTTGAAATGATAGCCTTGCTGGGTAATCTTGGTTATAGGTCCTTGCTTTTCATCACTGAATATTTTATGCCAATCCCTTCTGGCCTGTTGAGAAATCTGCTGGCAGTCGTATGGGAGCTGCCTTGTAGGTAACTAACTGCTTTTCTCTTGCTGCTTTTAAGATTATCTATTTGTCTTTAACCTTTGGCATTTTAATCATGATGTGTCTTGGTGTGGGCCTCTTAGGGTTCATCTTGCTCAGGGCTCTACACATCCTGGACTTGTATATCTATTTCTCTCACCAGATTAGGAAACGTTTTCATCATTATTTCTTCAGATAGGTTTGTAATCCCTTGCTCTCTCTCTCTTCTCCTTTTGGTACCTCTATAATGTGAATGTTGGTAGGCCTGATGTTGTGCCAGAGGTTCTTTAAACTATTTGGGGTTTTTTTTTTATTTGTTTGTTTGTTTGTTTGTTTTTACTCTTCTAATTGATATTTCTGCTACCTTGTCTCCCAAATCATTGATTCAATCTTCTGCTTCATCTAATCTACTGTTGATTCCCTATAATGTATTTTTCATCTTAATTATTGTATTCTTCATTTCTGACTGGTTCTTTTTTATTTTCTATCTCCACTTTTATGTTTTCTATCTCTTTGTTAAGTTCTCACTGAGGTCATCTACTCTTCCCCTACATTCATTGAGCATCCTTATAACCAGTGTTTTGAACTCTGCACTGATACATTACTTATCTCCATTGTGTCTAGTTCCTTTTCTGGAATTTTGTTCTGTTCTTTCATTTGAAACGTTTTTCTTTGTCTCCTCATTTTGGCAGCTTCCCTGTGTTTGTTTCTATGTATTAGGTAGAAATGCTATATTCCCCAGGTTGGTAGAGTGGCCTTGTGTAGTAGGTGTGCTGTGGGGCTCAGTGGCACAATCTCTCTGGTCACCTGAGCCATGTGCTCCAGGTGTGTCCCCTGTTTGGGTTGTCTGTGCCCTCCTGTTATAGTTGAGCCTTGACTGTTTTTGGCACATCAGTGGGAGGGATTAACCCTCAGGCTGATGGACTGTCAGGAGTGATCATGACTACAAAGGAGGAGCTATTCTGCAGGGGCTGTTCGCACAGAGCAGGATTCACTTTGCCTGGGCTCTGGTCTCTGAGTCCGCCCTTTGGGTGTGACCTAACACTTTTTGACCTAGGTCCAGCCTCCCTTGCCTATGTTCATCTCTTCAATACCCCGAGCCCAGCTGGGGCCCCTCTGTATACAATTTCAAAGGATCACACCTAGGGGGAGAAGCAGAGAGCTGTCAGTGTGGGTCTGTGATCCAGAGGTGGAAGGTGGGGACATTCTGGGTAAGAACTCTGGAGAGAAGGGAGTTAGTGGAGTGTTAACTGAAAATGGGAGCTGAAGAGGAAGGATGGAAAATAGAGGCTTGAGGGAAAGCAAGGAAGGAAGCTGTCACAGAACTTTCCAGCTGGCTGCCAGCCATCCTGGCTTCTTAGGGGCACCCCCCACCTCCACCCCTGGCAGTTCTGTCACCCGTTTCCTTGGATCTTTTTGTTTGCAAGTTGGTTCTTCTCTCTACAAGCTTAGACCAATTAAGGCTGGGGTTTCAGATGGCAACCCGTGTGCTCTCACTGCCCTCTCACCTGTGTGGGCTCGGAATGCGCAGGCGCCTGCCTCCCAGCAGTCCGGACTTAAGTCCTAGTGTCCATGGGACATCTCCAAGGGCCTTAACAGGGCCAAAATATGTGTCCATGCACCTGCCACTGCCTGGAAACCCCTCCCTCTCTATCCAGGGCCTGCCCTGAGTGTTTCCTCTTAGAAGAAATTCAGTAAACTCTTCCTTCCTCCATTTCAGCAGCTGCCTGCTGGCCAGTTGGCCTTCTCTGAGCTACGCTTTGTCTCCAGCAGGCACTCCATGTTGTAAGTCATACACAACTGGATAGAGAATCCTTCTGAGGGTTGTGGGATAGGACAGGGTTGCCTCATCCGTGTCACTGCACATCAGACTCTATTTCTTTTTCAGTTCTTAGAGGGGAGCCAGTCCTCTTTGACTCTGTGGAGAGCACTGCAGAGTCAGTGCTCCTACAGGCCGTGAGGAGCTGGGC